TTTCTACCCTCTCTCTCTCTCTCTCTCTCTCTCTCTCTCTCTCTCTCTCTCTCTCTCTCTCTCTCTCTCTCTGCCCTCCGTCTCCGTCCCCTTTGTCCATGACATCACCAATAGCGCCGACAAGGATTTTGTCACAGTGAAAAATGGCCTTGTCCTCTCTGTTACTCCCAACTAACAATACGTATTGTACGGCTTAATGATAATGCCTCTTTCAGCACGGGAAAGGTTTAACGGTTTACGCCTATCTCGAATAAGATACCGGTCCCGAGTTAGTGGTAGATGGGGGTGGGGGGGCTATAGAAAAGATAATTGTAGATGATTTACGCCTCCACAGACACAAGTTAGAACTTTTCCGAGCGGATTAATTCGACGCTAATTATCAGGGCCAGTCTCCAGCTGTATGGGACACCGTGGCCTAGCCAAAAAGGAAACAAGGAGCGTCGAAAAAACAAAACAACCCTCCCCAAAAAAACACAAAAAAACTAAGCGAAAAAAACACAAGAACAATAAAAACAACAGAAAGCAAAAACAAACTTATCACACGGAAATCGAAATCGAGCTTTGGATGCGACGGTGAAGGACTCAACCACTACACCATCATAGACGCCGATGGGAAGGGTATTGAAACTCCTCAAACAATACACGTTACTCACTGAGCACGCGCTGTTTTGGGGTACTTCGATATTCATGCCATTTTTTTTCCAATTCTGTTTTCATTATCTAAAACATAGAAGGGGCAGGCAACACAATGTATGCAGCAAAATATGCAAATTTGTGTTGCTTTTTTGTGTATGAAGATTTGAAATGTGCCGTTACCTTGCCTTTATTCTGTGGCTGGTCGGACATATGTGTCCGTTTTGTATTTAAAGAGTTAAAAACACTTTTTGTGTGTGTGTGTGGGGGGGGGGGGATACAACGCAGGGACATCCCCATCGTAGTTCTGTATTATACCAACTGAGAAATAACGATAGACCAGCGTGCACATTACTATACGTTTCCTTGATGAAACTGAAACTCCACTAAGCCTGTGTTGACGGTGACAGTGGGAAACCGTGTAAGTCTGAAATTACTATTAATTTATTATTTTCAAAGTCAGCAGTGTACGAGTGTCAAACGTGCTACTGAAAACATAATAATATTATACAAGTTTTGCTCAACATCGTATTTTGTAACTCCCCGGTGAACTTACGCTGATTATGAAGGTATGATACACAAGAGAAATTTGAAAAGTAAATAACTATAAAACGTGACTTAATTAAGACGATTTTTGAACGTTACCATCAAATATGTATAATGCCTGCCCTAGTCACGGTATACATCTAGGAGACATGAGCTCAATAATAATAATTATTCTCGCAGGCAGGAAAGGGATTTTATTTGCGCATAGCCAGCAAAGCAAAAGATGGGAGGGAAGAGGAGTGGGAGTGTGTGTGTGTGTGTGTGTGTGGTGTACGTGTGTGTGTGTGTGAGTGTGTGTGTGTGTGTGTGT